AGCACCAGCTGATTCTTGTTGAATTTTTGCTTGACTGCCAAAGCTTTGTGAGGCTTCATCTGGAAGCTGAGTTTCCCGAGCACCCCGTCAGCATCGTGCTTCTGTGCCAAGACCTCCAGCTCCTTTTGGATGTCTGCATCCAGAGATTGGGTGAAGCCCAGCATGGACAAATCCTCGAAGAGCTCTGTTTCCTTCCTGGGGGTGAACAAGACCCATCCACCGGTAAGGAACTGTTCTTCTGCAGATCCTGCAGTTGGACCTGGGAGCCAGTGATGTTTTTGATCTCGCACTCAAGTTTGTCCGCCTTCCGACGAACAAAAACGCCAAGCACGAAGCCTTGGTCACTCAGCAAATCCTGTGCATTGTGAAGGGACCCATCGGGGTTCAGCGCCCGCATTCGCTGAACTGCCCCCTGGCTTGATGACTTGCCATCAGCATTTGCCTCGGCATGTGTGGCCCATGGACTCTCCAACCCCAGAAGGATGCAGGCATCATGGGCAATGCCCTGCACTGTCTTGTAACTCTTCTCTTGGTCGGGGCGAGGAAGGCCAAGACACAGTCTCACGACATTCATGTCGACGACCCCGAGGATGTTGACAAAGCTCACGTCCTGCAGGATGTCGATACCAGCTTTCACCAGAAGCTCCCGAAGCTCGAAGAGAACTTGGTTCCCCTCCACGACCTTCTTCTCGCAGTCGCGAGCGAACATCTTTCGAGCTGTGCTTGCCGTGATCGCACTCCCCGACAAAGCCAGCTTCAACAATGCATGCCGGAAATGTGGAATCTGCTCCTGGCCTTTCTAGAACTCTTGCGATGCCACTTCCCAAAACCCAAGTCCGACAGCATGAGTCTGGCCTGAGCTTCTCACAAAGATTTCCGTTTCTCGAAGGAAGCCACCGCCCCTTCCTCCGCAGAATCGCAAAGCGAAGTTGTATGGTGCCGGAAAGCAATTGGCACAAGGGGGTTTTGACATAAGGGCAACTTTCTTGATGCTTTGAAAATCAGGCGACTCTTGTCTGCTCGCAAGCGAATAGATTCGCCTCAAGAGCTGAACCTCGCTCTCCGATTTTTGAAGTGTCGCATTTTGCGAAGCCTGGATGAGCTGCAAAATGTTTGGAAAAGCCTCGGCGACCTCTTTCGAGATCACCCGCCAGCATACGCCGTGCTCAATGTGCTCTGCGAAGATTGGGTCTCTGGCCTTCACCTGCTGCAAGCTCAACACCCCGTTCACTGAAAGTTCTGCTGAATCATGTCGAGCTGAGGAAGCCACGAGCCTCAGAGCAAAATTTGTATGTGAAGCTGAAAGGCTGAGCACTTGGAGGAGGTTGCTGTCCATGCTTCCAGGGGGTCCGCCAGCTGCATCAACCAACCGCTGATTGTACATGCGGTCTTGCTCCGTTGCGATTTCAACCCCGAAAGCATCGATCCTGGAAGGAACGAAGCCTACCTGGGAAATGCTGTCCGGGAGAAGATGCACGTCGGCTGCATCTCTGTTCTGCGGATGCACCCCCACTGAAAGTGGGGGGATCCGCATCTCGGTAAGAAGGCCGGCTTTCCGAAGAACGACGAACAAGTCGGAGACCGACTTCACCAGGAAGTGCCCCCCCTTCGGACTTTCGCAACAAAGCTGCGATCTCCCCGTAAACTTCTGGTGCCAGCGGCATGCTGAGGTGCAACACTATAGTGAGTCCCAGTTCTCGAGCAGACAAGCTCCATCGGTCATCATGTGCAATATATACAAAACAAAAAACACGCATGGCCATGATTCAATGCTACTGTTCTTGCCCTGCAGGCGAAGACTGCCTGCGAGCATTATAAAAACACAAATCAAATCACTGTCGCTGCCATGGCTGCCTGTGAAAGTATAAAGCTTTCTTGCCCACGAGCATCGCTAAACAGACACAGAAAATACGGCAGTCCATATTGCAAAAACCACAGATCCAAAGCTTGTAGTGACCAGGTATGAGCACATTTATAAGTATGCTAACATTAACTTAGCCATGATAATAACTATGGTCGCGACAGATACATAACCATGCTAAGCCCCGTAATCATTTATAACCACACCGCCCTTAGAAGTAAGCTTCACTTGTCCAGTGTCCTGCAGTCTGCTTTACTGTATCACCACAGGTTGCTAAAGCTAGGCTGCGGCATGATCCAACTCCTATGCCATCAATCGCAAACCGACAAAAAAAATGGCCCGAAGATGGAGAGCAGCCCTCTCAGACGGAGGGCCAGCCTTCGTAGCCCGCAATGAGCTCTTCCTGAAAGCCCGAAGTTTGGAGGCGGAAGTGTTGCTTGCAATCGTAAACCCGATGATCGTCTGTGCGATTTGGCCCGCTGATTTCTTCTCCAGGTCACTGACATGATGCCACTGAAAGAAGCCTCTAATGAAGTTGTACTGCTCCTAGGGCGAGACCCTCCCGCTAGCAATCGATGATAACTCGAAACGACCGAAATAATAGACTCTGAGAACCTGAAAACCAAACCCGACAGATGCTGTTGCAAAAACCAGAACAAAAGCCAAAACGCCCCATTTAAAGCCAAACTCGCCTCTTCGCTCCATTGCGACATCCACCTGGGTTGGCCACTGGCCATTGGGCGGCTACACAACTATATGCAATTGCTTGCAGCTGAAGGTATCGGGCCGAGTGCAGGGTTCATGTTTCCAAGTTACAAGTAACAGCACAGTGAGCGCAACCAAATATCACAGCCTTCGGGCTACAACGCAACACCAGCATGCGGGACAGGAAGCAGCCTGGACGCCTCGACAAGTCATCCCAGACCCCTTCCCTTGCTGGCCGGGGGCTGCAGCTCGGCATCTGTGCCATTCGTCACCTGCAAGTGTGCAGACGAACTCTCAGAGTTGCACGGCCTTACTCCACATGATGTTAACCTTAGCTAGAGTGATGGTCCACATGACCATGGTCGTGGTGGACATGATAATGATGATGATGGTGATGGTGATGGTGATGATGAAGGTGATGATGATGATGATGGTGATGGTGATGGTGATGATGATGATGGTGATGGTGATGGTGATGGTGATGGTGATGGTGATGGTGATGGTGATGGTGATGGTGATGGTGATGCTGGTGGTGGTGACGAGGATGAGGATGATGAGGATGATGATGATGATATGATGATGAAGCTGAAGATTCAGATTAACATGAAGATAAAGATGATGATGATGATGATGATGATGACGTTGATGACACAGGCGCCGGTGATGGCGATGACCACGAGGACGAGGACGAGAACCAGGGCGAGGGCGAGGGAAGGCAAGGGCGAGGACGAGGGTGGGGCGAGAGCGAGGACCAGGCTGAGGCTGAGGCTGAGGCGGCTGCTGCTGCTGCCGCTGATTCAGATGCGCTGCCGATGGCGATGGTGATGAAAATGAAGATGAAGATGAGGATGATGAAGATGAGAATGAAGAGGATGAAGGTGAGGCTGAAGTGAGGATGAAGAAGAAGAAGATGATGATGATGATGATGCTGCTAGACTTGCTGCTCAAATAACTGCTGACCATGCGATTGTCATTGCCGTTGAAACCATCAGTGTCATCAGCTCTGCGAAAAAATGCGACCATTGCTAATACCACTACTATTGTCAGTTTCGTTGTCGGTACTTCTCAACGCCACTACCTATGTGTCTGCATCATTGTCAACATCATTACTGTAGACAGTCCTGCTGTGACTTCTTGTTGGCATATTCACTCTTTGAACGCACATGTCCCCAAGCAGCTCGGCATAGCCTTGGGAATGTATATAAAGGAATAAGTGAATCGGTTGTTGAGGCCGCGAAACGCGCGGCACGAACACAGCCGTCTGGCTCCCTTTCTAGTAGCATGCCTTTGCGACTAAGATCGCTTTCTCCCCACTCCCAGCCGAGTTCACCATAAAAATAAAAGTAACAAAAATAAAAAACTAACACTGTGGCGCTTGCGAACTTCATGAATGGCGCTCCCGCCACAATGATGTGCTCATTGATGCGTATTGCTTGTGGTTCCTGTAGGGCGGGAATCGTGCTCCCCCAAAGTGGAGTGTTCGTTCTGATGTCAAATCGCTCTAAAGTCTCTGAAGTGATGGAACAGCTGCAATATTCAGCTCTTCGGGGCTCGTCCGCACACTACAGGTCTTGGAATGCAATTCGTTTTCCCACAACGGAGTCCGGCGTTTCCGCTTCCTGAAACAGTGCCCCATGGCCAGGTGCGACTCCTGCTTCTGCCTTCGCAAATCGCGTTCCAGCAAGAGTCCCCTCCGATTCCGCCTCGACAAGTGATGCTCCCGCCTCACGCCACAATGCCGTGCGTTCGCGTTCCGGGTGTTTCGTGCTCCTTGTGGATTCATGAAGGTCTTGGGAGCATCAGGATTCCCTTGAATAGTCTTGGGTACCACTCGGGTAAACATGCGAAGCCCTCGCCACGCATTGTTCAGTGGATGTTGTTCAAGTAATCCAGATCACCCGGAGCAGAAGGAAACGAGCACCATCCAATGGCCCACGGCACGTCATCAGGATGCAGGCTCAAAGCGTTGGAGTGTTGCAAAGACTAGACTTGCTGCACGAGTCACATTGAAAGCCGGCAACGACTCGGACGGTAGAGCTGAGGCTTCTGCCTGCACACACACACACACGCACACACACACACACACACAATTTCGCAGGCGAGCTATGCTGGGAACACAGTAGGACCAATAGCCTTTAAATCTCGAATTCGCAGGTCTTATGAAATTAGACCTGCCATGGGAATCGTGTGCTTGAGTGCCTTAATTTGAGCGCAGCCCTCGAGCCTGGGGTCTATACCGCAATTTGAATTGCGACGCAGCGGACTGCCGAATGCTAAGCCCCGACTCTCATTTAAGCAAAATCCGTAGGTCGTAGGTTCTCCCAGTTTCCACATACTTCCTCCGCGCACCGTCCAGCAGCAACTGTGATGCTTCCGGCCATGACAACACATGTTATAAAGCTGGTCAGACCTTCTATGACAATCCGCAACAATTCTATGACAATCCGCAACAAAACAATTGCAACGAGCGAGCCTTCATGGTTTCTTGCGAGGCCACATACTCGCCTGCCCCGCAGTCACAACTAAATGAGATTCTTCTGCAGCTTAATGTACGGGTTGGAACTGGGGCTAGCTTCGGATTCAGGGTTTGTGGCTGAGGCAGTTGAGCAGAGCTTCCCACAACGATCCCTTGCTGGACCCATTCACAAGCCCCAGGGTCAAGTGGTGAAGTTGCGTGTCCTCCAACGATTTTGGTTGTTTGTAGGCAGGCCCCTTCCACCCCCGCTCCCATGCTGGAACGCAGCCTCGGCCTGCTCGGGACTGTCGCAAACCCGAAGCCAAAAAAACCCAAAGTCACCTTGCTGCAGCTCCCATAAACGAACTGACAAAAGAAAAGTGCTCTGGTTTCGCACCCGAAGCCCGAAGACGGCCTTCGAACTCCAGGGGTGCACGGTGGACTGTGGTCCCGGATTTGTGGGGAAAGGGGCACTGTCGAGGGAAGACCTGAAGTCGCCGGAGAGTCGCGAGATTCTGTTGGCTTTTGGGCTGCCAAGCTACGGCTATAGTTTGAGAGCTTGAAAACCTTGGGGGCGTGCGATTCTTGCACTCGGGGGTTGGGTTCGGAGTGCGATCCGTCAGACCATAGAAGTAGGTGAGAAAACACTGGTGACCTGCAGGCTGATCTTGAGGATCCAGGCTTGCCAGGCTTGGGTTGCAGACCTCAGGCACTGCCTGCATAACCCACGACAAAGCAGTCGTCGCTCCGACGAGCAAGCTGTCCAAACTGCTGCCAAGCTTCGTAGTGAAGCCACCTCAGTTCATTGAAGCAGGTTGATTGCATGGACACACGCACAATGAAGAAGACAGCAGTGCAGCTTCGGTCAGATGCATGCCATATTTTTTGTAAGGCCAACAATCGTAAAGGTCACGTGGAGGCAAGCAGTTCGTTTTCACTTGTGGGCCGCGAACTGCTGGAATCTTGGACCTTGTCGGGCAAGCCGAGTCACTGCAAGAACAGGCGGCCATGGATGGGAACCTCTCCGAGAAGAGGGGTGATGAGGGTTTCTGAATTCTTGCCTTGTAAAGACCTGGACGCCTACAGAACAATGCTCCCTGTGCCTGCACCCATGGTAGGGTCGAAACTCTCCAGTCCGGAAGGCCGAGGCCCAAACCCATGCCAAAAGTGCCGCATGAAATCTGGGAAGCCGACTTCAACATCTTTCCGAACCTGTCCCGCCAAGGCCCAAGACCTCCCCGCCGTGGTTTGCCGCGATGGTCTCCAACTGAGCTGCCATCGTTGCATCCACACGGGCAGCGTCAGCCTCATCCTGCTAATGCACCAGCCCTCAAACCGAGCCGTTTAGGAGCCGGCATCTGCAGAATCCAGATCCGAGATCCAACACCGGTTTTCTGCTTTCCGACTTTTGAATCCCGGACCCTCGCTCCTCTGGCACAGCTGTGCCTGGACCTCTCAACTGCCGTGGAATGCTTGGCTCATCTTGGCTCCCACAGTCCTCCAGGGAGGTTCCCGAGGACATGTTTCGCACGACGGCCAAAATCCTCAGCAACCGAGTGAATTCACAAATTGTAGATCGTGAATGTCGCACGCTTGCTCCCTTTCTCCTTGAGCCTGCGATCCACCCAAATGGGTTCTGGACGCAAAATTCCCGCAACCCAACATGCTGGAAAATCCACATCCCAATGACAGATTCCGAGGTACCTCTGGGGCTCTGCCATGGGGCTCCTGACAGGGCTCGGGATCATCTGTACAGCGAATTGAGTTTAGGTTTCAGGCGGCGAAAACTTTGGGCTTTCAGTTTTTGGACGTTTTAAAGTTGAAGGCCTCTCGGGTCTAACTTCCCGAGGCCGCTCAAGGATTTCTAGCGGCACCAGAACGCGCACACTGGACCGAATGCCAGCTTCAGCGGCATATCTGCTTCAAATCACCCGAGATAGGGCTCAAACCCTCACACGCTGGCTGATGAGATTATGAGTTTCACAACCGAAACCCTGAGCCCATGCTGAATGTGGTGAGTGCGTGCGCCGTCCTCAGAGAGCGGTCAAGTTCTGCGAGGAGCGGGTTGCAGTCGTTAACGCAGCAGACCATGTAGTGATTTGTGGCAACCTTGTTGAACGTTTCGAAACCCTGGAAACGCTCGAGTGTTTCCAGCTACAGGAACTTACTGGACGCCCTAGAGTTCGGGCCTTCAGATTATTCCGTACGCTTTAAATGCAATAGGTGTTGTGCCGACGGGTTTATGCTGATCATGATTTGGGAAGCGCTTGCCTATGTTTGTAGCCAAACTGGATATCAGGAAGTCTTTGCTTCCGTTTAACAGGCATCGATGGCACTTTGGCCCCAAATAAGCCTCTTCAAGATCCTGCAAAACCAAAAAAAAAGGCTCCCCAAACCAAGGGGTCTTGGCAGCACCTGTCTTCGCGCAAACCGCCCTTGCAACCGAATCCACATGCAGCTTCCTCGTCCCGTAACACTCCGAGAGGCAACGTCAAGACTTTTTCAGCAGCCTTTGCCCAACAGGTTGAAGCGGTCGAGGCGCCCAGCCGAGACAGGTAGCACACAGCTTTCGTAAGGCAGAAACTGAAAACTGCCAAGCCGCGGCGGCCGTAAAACACAGCTAAAAGCTGCCTCCTTCCACGTGTAAGCAAGCGGCCACAACGGCGGGAGCAGCGTGCGCCGCCACTCCAAGCAGCTCCAAGAGCGCTAACCGCTGCTGCAAGTCCAGGCGTTAACAGCCGGTTGGTAGAGAACACAAGCAGCAGCGACCCGACGCCGACCTTCCAGAGACAAACTCGGCACGACGGACAGTGCCGCGACCTCTTGCAGATAGCTCTCAAGCGTGCTGGAATTCCGGATCCGCATCCGCCACATCAGGTCGTGAATGCTCAAACACTCGCTGTGGGCTTTCACAGCCCCTCCACCGCGAAGGCCGCCAGGTGTGAGGCGAGCTGACTTCGGGATGGAGAGGGCCCGCAGAAGCTCATCCCAGCGCTTTCGAAAAGCAGACGGCGAACCATTGTAGAGCTGATCTTCGGGGGACGTGCCAGCATACAGGTACTCCAAGTAGGCGCAGAAGGCTGTATCCTTAACGCACAAGTGTTGAACACGCCCTTTTCCTCGAAAAGCGGTTTTCGGACTTCTCACAGCCATAAAAGCGCCAGTGGAGAGCGGGGACACGGAGTCCAAAGGCAGCAGTAAGTCCTTTCGCTTGGCGCGGAGCGGCTCCCCTGCCCGAGCTATGCCGAAAAAGGCATTCCCAGAATAGCACACCAGCGTCTCCAGCCGCGCAAGAGTCCGAGAAAAAACATGCTTTGAAAGATGACTTCCGGCACAGGCACTCGATGTTGAACTGGCTGGACGCGCTCCCAGCGCGTAAGCAGGTCCCAGGCTAGAGGCATATAAGGCCGGAGCTCCAGCCTGTGCTTTTGCATGTAAGCCAACAAACGTCTGTACACATACATCGGGCTGCGGCTCCGAAAAAGGAAGTCACCATAGGCACGCAACAGAGTGCAGAAAGCCATGGCGCAAGACTCTAGGCTCCTAAGGGCAGGATCACTTAACACCTGACGCAGCCAGTCCTCGAAGTCAGCCAACACACGGGCCTGAATCTTGACGGTAGCCGAAGTGACTAGGGTTACCTCTTCCAGAGACTCGAACTTCGAGACGACAGGTCCCGGATGAGAAGCTTCTCCCATCCTCGCCCCAATGCACCGTGCACAAGCAGCCAGATCCAGACGACGCTTGGCCGGCTCAGCGAGGTAGCGGTTGGCCAAGTGGTACGCAAGCATGATGTTGATCTGCTTCGGGTAGGCTTCCGTAGCCTTAGTCCGTTGTCGACGGTGGAGGCTGGAGTAACCGGAAAGGCGTTGGTGTGACTTGCAGCCTGGACATCGAACGGCACAATCGCCCGCCTCAACACCGACGAAGAACCAGGTCCTCTTGCGCCACGCCGCTCCCAAAGCACAGAAGTCAAGCACCCAACAAACTTCCCGCCAGTTTCCACTAAAGACTCTCTTCCAGTATGGGGCGTCCCAAAGGTAGCTCCCGTGCGGGTTCTCGACCCAGACGGGGGGCCGCAACGTCACGAACTCCTGAGCCAGCGCTGCTGAGAAGGCCGCGTGAAGGATCTTTGGCCTCATGCTTTCACGAGCGCCTGGCAGTCCCAGCGGGTGGGCCTTGCTTCGCACGGGGGGGCGGACAGCTCTGGAGAACGAAGCACCCCAAAAAGGCCCGCCGGCGGACCAAGTCTATGATCTTCTCCTGGAGCTCCAGCGGCAACAGGTCCTCCGCAGCCGAGTGCCCGTAGTGAAAGGTCAGGACCCAGGTTCCACTGATGTCGGCCAGCTCATGAGCCACGCCTCGGGAGCCTGAGTAACAATCAAGAAACCCGGGCCGGCGCAGCATCTCAAGTAGCCCTCGTTTGCATTTCTTTGGCAACACAAACTGATCCGCATCAAACTCTGCAAGGTCGCGTGTCACGTCAACGGGCAAGTCAAAGACCTCCCCATCGCCGGGTTCATCCTCAACGGGGGCCGGCTGCTCTAACTTGTGTCCATTCCATGCTACCAATGCTCCACCCGATGCCGAAGCAGCAGAGGGCACCAGAGGCCTCAAAGATCTGAACTTGATGTAAACACTAGCTGGGAGATGAAAGCCGAGCCCAGCCAGGAATTTCAGGTCGCTGCCAGGAGCCTTGATGCCTTGATGTAGTCGCGGATGCTGTAGCACACGAGCACCGTGCGCTCGCCCTTCCATTCACGGGTAATATGCCATCGTCTAGGGTTGAAGGAAACGGCGCCCTGTCGGACTTCAAGATTTCGGCCCTTAAGGAGCTTCCCCCCGATGTTCTCGACGGCATCGCCCTCCTCATCCTCGATCCATACAGCTCCTCCGACGAAGCTGCTCAATCCAGTCACCAGATTCAAACTCGAGCGACAATTATGCGAATCTCGATGTGGAAGCGTTCTTACATTGTGCATGAAAACGAAGCTCGTGTACTCGTGCTGGGGGAAGTTTGCTGACACGAAAGAAGCAACGGCCGAACAGCTGTTTGGGAAGGCCCTGGTGTTGCTCCGCAGTCCAGCGACTCCGCCGTGAACAAACATTCCACAGGAAAAGGAGCTCGCACCTCCAGTCTCCGATCCACGAGCCGGTGTCTCTGAAGGCAGGAGTCTTTGCAGTTTGGCCAAGTCAGCTGCAGCAACGAAGCGGCAAAGACCTCGGCTTCATGCTCAGGCTCCGCCCGCGACAACTCCGAAAGAAACATACGCCTCCGCTCAAGTCGCGGGGCGACCGGCTCGGCAATCGCCAGGGGCACGATGCTTTCGAAAGGAGGGAGCCCCAGCAGGCTGATGCTATCTAACCCGAACTCTCTCAAGAAAGCGTCAAGCTCTTCGAACGATCCATCGAGAGCCTTCTCTAGCCACCATGGCGCAGCTTCCCGGGCATCGCGAACAGGTGCATGTCTAGTGTGGGGTATCGGCAGGATTGTCAGAGGTTCCAACATAAGTGTACGCTCCAGTAGTATCAGAGGACAAATGCTCAGTGAGGCTCTGTCGGAGAATCCCATTCAAACGAGGCGAAGCAGACCGTCCCTTGAGCACCACGCCCAGAGACTTGTGAATCACTGGCTGAAATCATTCTAGAACTCGGATGCTTTAGCCCTCGCCTTCGCTCCCCAGCCAACAGAGTCCTCAGTTCGTGGACGTTTATGTGTCGGGGCCTCCAAATTCTCCTGCACCACACTTCTTTGAACTTCACACTCCTGAACAAGGTCTGCCACACTGGACGGTAACCGAAGAAATCGCCGCCCGGCAACTCCTCTTGAGGGTCCAGGGTCCTCGACAAAGTGAAACGGGAACTCTTGTGACACTTCGGCCTCCCAGCTGTCGGAAGCATCGGCGGCCGAGACTTCAGTGCAGAACTTGCTTCGAAGGTTCGACCTGACAACCGGAGAAATGAGAACCAACATCCGGAGCTCGGCTTCGAGTGCAGGCCAGATCCGGAACGCCTTGTTTTCATCAAGCCAACGGGCCGCCTTGAAGACCTCTTCCAGCAACGAATTACACCTGCGCCGGAACTGAAAGATTGCGACAAAGAAACCCACGATCGACGCCAAGATGTGGCGAGTAGTGGCTTTGTTCTTGATGATGTCAATCGTGACAGAGATGACCGGTATGAGACGGCAAGTGAGAGGCCTGCACGTACCAGCATCACCGTCAATCTCAGCGCCCCAGACCTCGGCCCGGAGCTTTTCACAGAAGGATTTCTTGACGTTCTTCTTCAAGCCTCCCTCGACGTAAGCTGCTTCGGCTCGTTTGAGCCCCGGGCTCCTTCTGTCAGACCCGAGCCGAGATCGGCCAGCTTCGAACGAGGAATCTTCTCAGCAATGAACAGGTCATCAATCACTACCCCTACTGCAATGGGCGAGGGGCTCTTGACTTCAGCGTCAGCATCTCCTCCGGAACGAAGACCTCGGCCTGCAAGCTCAGCGAGAGGTGGACCAGCTGTCCGAATTCAACGCTGTTCAGGTCACCCATGGCCATGCTATTCAAAGAAGCTCCAAAGGGTCCCTTGCCCGCAAGGTGCTCCTCGAAGCACGTGAAGTGGCGAGCGACCGACTCCCCGACATAGCCTGCCAAGGCTTTGCGAACAAGCCGTTGAGGGCTGATGCAGTAGTGGTAGTAATAGTCCTTAAGGTCGGCGCCAGACAGCACCAACACCTCGCTCTCGGCCAGGCATATCTGGAGCACGGACTCAGCACATCCCAAAGACTGGGTCCATCGGTTGAGCCCAGCCTCCAAAAGGTTGGGCCTGCGAGCATACAGTATCATCCTGTTGGCAGTCAGCGATTTCGACACTGCGAACAATCCATTCAGGCACAGCCTGCGAGTAGAGGAAGGAGGCAGAAATGTTAGCCGTCCTCCTTCGTCCAACTTCTTGAAGAGCTCCAACTTCTCCTTCGCGCTGGCCATGATTCTGGCTCGCGGGGGCGCCTGAGCACATAGTTCTTCGGGGATAGCATGATCCATGGGTTGAAGGTAGCGATCCAGGCTGAGCACATCCATGTAGCGGGCCGGGTCGAACTTTGGGGGCTGACCAAACTCCAGACGAGAAGCCACTACACCTCGTGGACGAAATCAACTTCCACTGGATCGGCGACTCTAGCAGCAGACAGACTATGGCCGTATCCTCGGCAAAGATCGGCAAGCCTATGCGGCTAGCAGCGACATCCTCCAAATTCTCGATCTTTGAGGCCACACGCCCCATATCCTCGGCAGACACGGGTGAATGGCAAACAACTTCTCGCATCATCTCTTCCAGCCGGCTCACGCGCGCCCTGTGTTCAGAGTCTAGGGGGCGCTCGCCCCGGATGTAGTCAGGAGCTTTCTTTGGCCGCACTCCCCGCTGGCTCCGAAGTGAGGGAGCGGCATAGGCCAGGGAGACGATGCGGTATGCCCCAAATCAGGGCATTCTTGAGCTTCATCGAAGTAGCTGCTGAAGAAATGCGAAAATGAATTGTGTTGCTTCTTCCTCCTCAGTTGGTGGCATCCCGCCAACGCAAGTTGGCCCGAGCCACCGATCGCCTTGCCTCCCACGCTGTAGCGAATCCTAAGAAGATAGCAACTCCGGGATCCTGTCGCGTGCGGAAGTGAGCCCTGAGATCACTCAGGCGGGAATGAACCTGTACTGGGTCAAACCGATCTCCGCGGTGATTCTGCACAAGAACGTAAAGCCGAGAACGAAGGTCCAGACGATCGCGTCCAGATACTCCCCGCCTCTGCCGTCAAGTTCTCGGCGCAACCAATCACCAAGCTGATCTGCCAATTCTTGACGCTCTCGATCACTAAGCCTCGAGGGCGATGTAGCCGGAGGCTGGGCCGAAGCTTGCAAGGGATGCTCCTGAGCGGGGGTGCGCACCTGATTCGAGCTCGCTGCAGACTGTCGGACGGGCGTAGATGTCACAACCGAAAACTCTGACGGGCTTTCGGACCGGCGCCCCTGAGCCTGGCTCTGCTGTTCCTCCAACGAAGCGATGCGGTCCTCAGCTGCCTCGAGGCGGATGCTAAGCCGCGCAAAAGCGGCTTCCAAGTTGCGAAGGTCAACGGCCGAGGGCCCAACTCTCATATACGACTGTTGCCTTTGAGACTCAGAGTAGCTAGCCGATTCCGAAGCTCAAATGCCAGAAACTGCTTGAAGAGATACAGCAAGTCCAGTAGTGACGAAATGAGAATCCCGATCAGCACCCCAGCTAGCAGCAAAATCCAGAAAATGGGAGGGAGCTCGAATGGTGAGTCGATCACAACCGGAGGGCTCAAGATTCCCGAAGGCTCGAAGCTAGGAGCGGGCTGAAGATGCTGTCCAAGCAGGGCAACAATCAAGGAGCTAAGTGATCCTGCCCCTGCGCCCAAAGCTAACGGGCGCCCGCTCATGAACCTTTAAAAGCTACGGAGAGACTCACTCGTTTGCAGCATGAATGAACATGCACTGCCCCACAGAATACACCCGAAACAACCCCTTGCCCCCCAAGCAAAAAACTGCAAACAAACAACACAAGGATCCTACAAAGACCTGCCAAGCTCGGCCGCCCGGCGATGCAGTTCGAAGCCGCCTGGATATAATTCGGGATGATCACCTGGCAGCAAAAAAGCAGTCGTCTCTCTGATTCTAGGTCACTAGGACTGATCGAGCGTCTGGTCGTGAGCAGCTTAAGTTCAGGCCAGCACGGCTAAACTGCCTTTACCATGACCATATTTTCCAGCCCCTTCATGGCTGCGAGCTGGCGTTTGAAAAGGATTAGGAAGTTAAAGGGAAATCATACAGTAGTTGCTTCTTTCGATTCGATTCGTTGAAACACATGAGTGTGTTGTTTCAGAACTGGGTTTGGTTGCGCAGGCGCCTGCTTCCCAGCACGGCCCGTCTCATCCAGGGCTCCCAGCTCCCGGAGGTAAGCCTCGAATGTCTTGTTTCACGTTACAAAACCATGTGTTGTAACATAAAGAAAGGCCCGCTGAACTTCCGAAGTGTGCAGCAGCATGGAGCGTGTTTTCAAGCGTGACCGCCCAAAGCACCCCTCTCCCAACCCCAAGCCTCGGATTCAGCAAAGCGCCAGTCGGCTTCCAGACCGGTGCCTCGCCACAGTGCTTAGACCGGTGCCCAGGTGCCCTCCGGTTGGAGGAATGCTTACAGAGAGATCCATTCGAGATTTGGGGCTTTTGGACCTCAACGTCATTGACTTCAGAACCAGGGTATGGAAAGCACGGTGTCGGGCTTCAAAGATGGACCGGGGAGGCTCTCAGGTCAGACTAGGAAAAACGAGTGTCACAGGGTCACAACCACGCCCAGGACCCTCAACCGAAATCCTAGAGCCTGAAATCGCAACAGCTTAAGGTCTCGCCGAGCTGCCGTAGAACTTGGACAGCGGGACTCGACCTCACAGCCAGGGAGCATCCGCAATCCCAGTGGTGCGGACAAGCACATTCTGTGCCGACGTCTCACACGTGGCGCGTAAACAAGGATTCTTCACCTTCGGGCCTTAAGGACAAAGAAGCTTTTGGTTGTGCAGCTTGGGATCTGCTGAGGTTTGGGGATTCGGGCTTCCAGGCTGGAGTACAGCACGTTGATGTCTCAGGGTTTGGGCCTTGTGTTGGATGCGCCTCGCAAGCCTGTGCAGCACAATTACACCGGCCCTGGTGGTGCAGGAATGCCAACAAGAACACATGCCCTGTACCGCCAAAGTTTCCCTTTTACAATAAGCTGAACGGCTCTGGGTCAAACAACATGCCTCTGCTCTCTTTCTTTTGACTCAGACCATGCGAGGGTCCCGGCCGGTGTGCTGAGAGTCCATGGCGATCAGCTGCTCCTTTGAGAAGAGCGGGTTGCTCAGTTTCCGATGTCTCGGTGTCTTGTTTCGGCCTGTTTGTCCACAGTTTCCGTTCTTTCGTCTGCGCGCAGGGTGCTGCCGCTTGCTCTCACACAAAGGCTCTGACGCGGCCAAGTGTCTGCAGGTACAGCTCTAGATTCTCCAGATGATGCTCTACCTCACCAACAGACCATTGTCCTGACACCTTCAGAGCTAGACTTCCAAACAAAGTTAACCAAAGCCCGAAGATTGGATTAGATGCCTACATGCGAAATTTACCAGAAGATCCCCATCGCGGCCTTCATTTCAGTGCATTCGGACTCCCAGAAGGATGCGAAGGAGTGGGTGATGCCGCCCACGATCTTGTGCCAAGGTTCAGGCAAGGATCGATTACGCGTTGCCGGCTTCGATCCGAACCCGTGGCTATTCAGGATGGAACAGGAATTGATACTGCTTGCAATTAAGTCGAGCTTAAAAAGGGTTGGCGTCGCACATGCAACAGCCTCGTGGGCATCTTCAAAGCTGTACCGGCCAGCCGTGAGACCACCTGGGCAAGGCGGAGAGATGCCGATGCTGAAAAGGATGAGTGAACCGAAACTTGCATGAGGATTAGGATGCGGAGGACGATGGACGACGATGATGGCGATGCAGTAGTGGTGGTAGGGATGGCGCAATGTTGATTGTGATACTGTAATGGTTATGGTCCTGTGGTGATGATGTTGACGATGCAATGATGTTGACTATGTAGATGGTAATGATGATCGCGACGACGACGGCCACGATGACGGCAATGACCACAGTCATGGTGATGATGACGACAATGTGATGTTGCTTCTTGTAATACCAATGATGTCGGCAAGAACAACCGGGATGAGAATAGTGACCGTGGTGGTAGTGATGCAAACGGAGTCAAGAAAACAAGATGACACACGACGACGCCAACGACAAGGACGCCGACAAGGACGACGTCAAGGACGACGTCAAGGACGACGATGACGACGACAGCCTCATCACCATCATCATCATCATCATCATCATCTTAATGTTCCTCTTCATGGCCATCACCGACCGTACGACCGTGACCACCATCAAACAATCAAACAACCATCATCATCATCATCATCATCCAAAAATAATCGTCGTAACATCGTCGTCATCACCATGATCCCTGCGGGTGCTCTCCATGTGAATTCGGCGTCTGTGTAACTCACGTTGGTCAGGAATGGCTTCAGGTATAGCGTTACAGTCAAAGCTGTTCCAATGCTCTGAGTCGTGCTCGGGACGCCAGGGCTTAGGGGCCCTGGCAGATCGTTGGAGCTTGGGCTTGTCTTCGCCGGAAAGGACAATTTGAACGCAAATTAAACGCGTTAGACACAACAGAGTTTATTCCAAGACTTGAGGCGACTGTGTGAGGTTTGACACGATATAGGGAGCTCTGAAATACTACCCCACTAAACGAGTTCAGACTCTCGAAACCTTTCTCCCTCTTCCTTGCAAACTGAGCGTCTAGAGCCCGAGCTGCGTGCCCTTTCCCAGTCCAAGGCCTCTGCAAAGCATATCAGCCTTTCTCGCGAAGCACTTGGCCATCGCGGTTGCAATCATGCGGAACCAGAACAGTACACGAAATCCTGAAATCTCAACCCCTGAGTCTGAAGCCACTACTTTGAACCCGAAACTGATGCATCTTCGCGGTCCGTGACCCTGGGTCCAGCTTTCACCCGGTCGAGATTCGTGTAAAAAACCGCAATGAGGAGGAGTCGACATAAACAACTGAAGTAGCAGAAGGCTCCAAACCCTAAATCCAGAGCCGGAGCCTTCACCTGGCCGTGTGCGAAGGCGACCAGCTCTTCCTGCCAGGAACGATTGCTTCTAGGGCTCAGAGCGGGTTTGTGGTTTTAAGTCAAGTTGACCTTCCTTCACGTCAGGGCCTGAACTTCAGGGTTTGACAATTTGTTGGCGTTCGGGGTAAGGCTCGTTGGGTAAGAGGCTTTGCACACTTGAGACTTCAGAGCTTTGTGGGTGGGCACGATATTGCTGGAAGAACTTCCCCGAGGTGGAACCCAACGATTCAAAAATAGGGCAGGGCGTCATCTTCGACTGCGTAAACCCGCCCACTGAAACGACTCCTTTTTGGCTTGGAGTTTGGGTTTCAAGGTAACTTTTCGGTCCGGGTTTGCAGGATGGGGTTAATGAGGCCTTGAGGGTTGAAGACTCGGAAGCTCTTCAACCACCGACCGAGGTGCCCAGTGCGGGAAGGTCTTTCGGCGGAGCCGCTCACTGTTCAGCAGCATTCGAATGCCCTCCTGCGTCGCTCATGCAAGAAACTGAAGCTGAACTCTGAAATCGTAGCCAATGCTATGTGATGTAAGCATGTGAGGAAGCAGAACGAGAATTCAGAACTGCGGCATTAGGAAGAGCATAGATACCTTGAGAACGACATTTGGCACGCTATGCAGATCCAGGTCGGAAACGCTACTATGTTGCACAGCATTTTGGCTGGAGATGCAGCGCAATGGCCCACAAACCAGAACGCCCTTTAAAATTTGAAAGACCTATAGCATGTTCGCAACCTCATCTGAGGGTCCTGCACACAGTCAAAAAACAATCCATTCATTCCAAGTTCGAGCGGGCGAATGGCAGTTTGGAAATCAAGGCGCTTCGGATTACCTGCTTCAGTCTGCAGAGACATGGGTCCTCATCCGACCCCAGAAGCCAATGCACCAGATAGGCCTTCGCGAGAGACCGCCTCCCCTTCACACGTACTTAGCATTGGCACTTCACGGCACATGTAACGGCCTGAGCCTCTGCCACTGACTGGAAGAGATTCAAAGTTAAACAGAGCCCATCGCTTCAACTGCCAAGCTCCAAACCCTGAAAATTGAACCTTGGCTGCAGTGGGAAACCTGAACAAAGACTAACCAAACGCGATAATCCCCTACACCACCAGATCGAACCGCCTTTCACCCTTCACCCTGCTGAAGCTTGTAGGCCCCAAACCCTAGAAACACCCTGAAAACCGTCACCCTGCAAAACACAGTAGAAAGGAGGCCCCCAGGGCCTCGAGAAGCTGATGGACGCCCTGGCGGCTCAGCGGCCGCACCAGGGGCTTCCGCTGCTTCTGTGGCGGAGAGGAGATACGTGTCAGTCTGAGTTCGCGACTCTTGTATCACACTTACGTGATGCTCACGGTGTGTTGGGATCTTGTAGTGCTTTGAGGGGCTTTCGGACACATCTCCGTCGTCATCTGCTGAGGGGAATTCGCAGAGTCGGAGCCCAGCACAAGCGTCACAGGGGTCGGCGCCCAGGGTAGGTTTTGGGACTGCAAACATCTGTGCTTAATCATGGTTCACGAGTGGCAACGCAGTTGCCTCATAGACTGTGGCCAGCAACGTGCTCTCCGAATCGAACACGAGTTGCTCGATGGTCGTTATCCTTGGACACCAAACTCTGGGGCACTCGAACGTGTCTGAATTCGGAATCAGATCGGGGGGGCTCTTCCTACTCATGCGATCAAATGATGCAACCCTTGAAGTCACAAACATCAAAGACCGCATGGCAGAATTTCGATTGCGAGGGGAATCCCCAAGTTGGTGGTCTACTCCAAACTCGAGGCTTCTTGCGCCAGAGCTCAGCAAGGCGGCATCCTGCAAGTCGAAGCCACGCTCCTCCGCGTGCCGTGACATCAGCACGTTCTCGACCTTCCGAAGCAAAGTTGACGCTTTGTTGAACTTCGGTGTTAAAGGCGTTTTGGCTTGGAAAGGCATTCAGGGTTCTGTTCCGAAGTGCATGCTGCTCACCTCCCCGAAGCTCTACGTGCAACAAGAAAATTCTAAACTCGATGTCAACATGTCGGGTTTGCGAGTTTCGATTTATCTGCGGCCTGAATTTGACCAATCCAGGCTTGGTCTTTAGGATGTTTTCGGGTTTAGGGTGTGGACCATAGGGGAGGCCGATTTGGGCAGCCTCAATGAGTTGGACCACCATGAGCAAAAAGGATGTGTCATCATAACGATCCGATAGTCCACAGTGGTACGAGGGATTGCCGCGACAGGACCCCGAAGAACACTCCCTTGAAGTCCATGTCGAAATGTCAAATTCACAATCTCAGAGTGTGCCAGGGCACGTAGCCGGGCACCTTCTCGCTGAGCACCTCAGCCGCAGCCCACAGGGACCTGAGTTCTCTCCTGGCCATGCACAAGTCAAGGTAGGATTCAGGAGCATGAAAACCACAAGGCTACTCCAAGTACAGATTCTATGTCCTGAGCCGCAACATGGAATGTGAATGTGCCCTCCACCAGCCACACCCTGTGACTGGCAAGAACATCCTCACAAGGAACACTGCGCGACCGCACTGCTGGCAAATTCTACCTTCGAACTCTTGCCCTTACCCAAAGATCTGAACCCTGAGCCTACTCTCCAAAGCCCTCACAACGCACGACCCCGAGCGCGAGCGGGGTTGTTGGAACGAGTGGCTCGTTGGTCGGCCTGGAGGGTTCGAACCCCCGAATAACAAGCGCATACCTGAGGCTTCTTTTTCCGGCAGCATTTACTACATTTTACAGCTCAGTTCGCTTCAGGACTCTGGGGTTTGGGGGTCGTGGGAGCCTTTGCGCCAAGTGCCCAGGTCTCAGGACTTTGGCATCTCAACGTCCACTTTTGGCGCTTCGTTTTGTCGGGCGTCAGTGTTCGAGCCCCGCAGTCCCTGCAGCCTGGGCGCTTCTGGTTGAAGTGGCGGTAGGTGAGGTAGCGCAATGAGCGTCGGTCAATGCGGCCGGCCCCTGTTCTACACTGCAAACCCCCGTAGACTTACAGACGCGACAAGCTTTATACCTGAAGCAAGGCCACACGGGTGAGCGCCGTGAGGAATCGGCAAGTGTTTTTAACATTGCCTCTCCATTCTTCTAAAGTTTCCGTTTCGGTCGCTGTGTGGCTTTGCGGGAAGGACAGAGCGGAATGATCTTGCTTGAAGGCCTTCGCTGGCATCAGGCTTTCCGGGCACAGATCCCCGAAGCATACACACTTGAAGCTGTGCAACCTCATAACTGCTCAGGCTGCAGCCATTCTTTGGCAGGGTGGCGAATGCACTGGACAGATCTGCCTACGAAGCACGAGAAGTTGGTGTAGGATTTCGCTTTTCAGCAGTTGGGCAGAAGCGCTCAGATGCTCAGACAAATGGCATGTAATGGCCTTGAGCTAGCAGCTAGCACCTGGAACTACCACTGCAACTCGGGCAACAGAACGCACAACCCTGATCGCAAGTCGGATCAACGGAAACACGCTTCCAAATCTGTAAACCCACAGAACCCTCCTTTCTTGGCCTCCCAGCATAGTCAGACTTCAGGACCCCGGATGCCGATACTCCAACTAACAAGTCTTACATCAGAACCCCCGAAACCGTGAACCCCCAGCTGTACCAATATATGCTCAAGCCTCACTCTTCATTCCATGGGCCTCCAGCTGGCGCAGCTTTTCAGGGGCGACCTGCGGGATCCATACCCCGGGCTGCAGTGCTCCCGAGCCAGAGTCTGGGGCGCAAGCGGCGGTGAAACTCAAAGGTTTCGGGCTGCCCAAGGCGTTTTCACAAATCGCCCAACCAAAAAAGCGAAGCCCCTCTGAGGCCTCGCCACCGCAGCCCAGGGCCTCACCCATGGCTGCCCTCAGTTTCGGCTTGTCGGATCTAAGGTGTAAGGTGTTATTGAGGCTACACCATTTCGGTCGCTTCTGGTCTGGGGGGGCTTTACAGGCTTTGGCTGCTTTCGGGCTGTCTGACTCCCGGGCGGGTTCGAGAGTTCGGAGCTTCACCTTCGTACTGTCGGAGCTCTGAATTCTTTTCTGCTCGAGTCTACTGAAGGTGTCATGGGCCTTCACCACGCCCAACGGGCCCAAACGCAAGACCTCGCAAAACCAGCTCTGCAAATGTCACCTTCCAACCAGCTGCCACACCAAACCTCGCAGTTGCAATATACCGCAAGCAGGCACAGAGCCCAGTGAGCAGAATGAAAAGCTGACCAAGTTCATCATTATCAGATCAGTATCATGAATCAAAAGCCACCGTTCTCAAATATCAACATCGGTATCGATATCGACATCGACGTCAATGTCAATCTGAATATCATCCTCATCGTCAGGCTGATCATCATCATCATGCTTATCCTCGTCGTCATGTCTTTGTCATCCTCATTCATCCAACTACTCTTGCTGTCTATGTCCCGACCACAGCAAATACGACCTTTAGCAGAACCACCAGCAGCGGCAGTAGCGGCAGTAGCGGCAGTAAGAGTCGGACTGTGTGGCTTGTATTTTGTTACTCTCTTTTCGCCTGAGCCACTGCAGCTCCGCCTCGAAGGCGGCAGCATCCACGGAGGCGCGGAGGCGCCCGCCCCGCGAAAAGCCTTGATAGGGCGTAAGAAGGGCTCAGGTCTTGAGGGTGTAGAGTTTGCGGGGTCCTGGGCCGTAGCACTCAGGAAAACACCGGAGCCAGTTTGTGCTGAAGAGCTCTCGGAGCTGGCATCGATGAGGGCCGGCATGACGGCCAGAAGCCTGAGCTGCTTCGGCGTCTTGCATGTTTCTGGGCTCATTCCCTGGCTCCCTGAGCGTTTTATGTGTTGAAGTTTCGAGAGCCGGGCAGCACACATTTTCAACCCGCACTCAATTTGGAATCACAATTTTCGTCGGGATCAACATCGTCACCAATGGTTTGGGGGCTGAAGGGACGAGAGGGGCCGTTAAATTCAGGGTCTGTACCGGAAGGGGAAAGAGGCGGGGGGTTGCAAACAAGGTTCCTGCAGCGAGGGCAGGCGAGGCCCGACAGCCCCCGGGTTTGCTGAAGCGCAGCATCGTGTTGCGAACTTCAACTGTGAAATGAAGACTTCAGGTGCGCTTGCTGCGTCAACGGGGAGCTGACGCAAGCAAAATCGAAAGCCCCAAAAGGCTAAAACTTGCCAGCGTCCAGATCCAGAACCACCCAAACCCCCCACAACGCCCTCAGCCCATTCAGGCCCGGAATCCCAGACCGCTTCCCACAACCAAGAAGCACAGCGACTGCTCTAGCGAGCATTGCTACCTCAGCGCCAGGCGGAGCTATGATTCGCTGAGTCACTCGCTCGAGCTTTGCTGGTGCAGAGGTTGCGGGGGGTTCCAGCTCGGGCCAACTTGTGTGGCACTCTCGCAATGCAATGCTCTAGGCTGGAGTTCAAGGAGCAAGGCTATAGCCATCCACAAAGATGGCTGTCAGTTGCAAAACGTGATCATTCATCCGCGCAATGCAAAATCGCAACAAGGCTTCAGAATTTACAAACCTTGGATGCCCTTCTAGGCCGCCCTTCCCAAAAACAAAAATTTATACATAAAGTCAGGGCCCCCCGACAAGGAAACTTCAGAACGAAGAGGGGGTAGTACCTTGGCTGGGGTGGGAGTGGTGCTTCGAGGATATCGGGTCGAGATGCAGCAAGGAAGCAAACCTGCAGAGACCTCCTGCACCCGCAAACACAAGCACTGCACCATGTACCACAGAAGCTGTTCTCTATTGGCTCGTAGGTTACAGCATCACAAGCACGTCCGCAGAGAAGAAGAGAGGATCTTCCAACATCCGAAAGCACTCGTCAAATGAAAGAAAACAGGCACAAGATGCAAGCTGCTAAATCTTCATGGTTTGGCTCCTTCTGCTTGCCAAACCCGAAAACGAGCCTTTAGAAGATCTCGGCCCTAGGACTCCGTTGTCCAAGGCTTGAGGGGCTTGATACGTCGAGGTCCACAAGCCCAACAGAAGAACTCTGAAGATCACTGGCCAGGCGCTTTCTCGGATGCAGTAGGTAGGGATGGAACTTATGCCAAACGGCCGCGGAAATCAAAGAGACAACGTTCAGACAGCCCGCTGCAATCCCCGAAACACCCCTGAACGTCGAGCACTTGCAGCTTACGTTCACGCTCCCAAGCCTGAAAGACGAACCTGAAACCTTCGGTCGAAGTCTAACGATCGTTCGTTTCAGCCCATGTACTGTACCAGCCGAAGGCTCAAGATGCCGAGTGTGCTGAACAAGCACCTCTTGCCTCAGCATCGAACGCTCCAAGCCATATGCCGTAGCAGAAACACCTATAGCACTTGAATGCCTAAACCTACTTCTGCTGTGCCTTTCTCTACAGGTCGATTGAACCATGAAACTAAAAACGCTTCGCACCAAGTCTGTGTCCTGTGAAACCCGTAAGCCCCGGGCCCTTGAACGAATCGGCCCATTCTACATCTACAATGAGAATCCTATAAGTCGTGCAGGATTCTCAAGATCTCAAAACTAGCTCCAAGCTCCAAAACCGTCACCTATCACGATGCCTTGGGTTGAGGGTTCTGGGTCTCGGAATTTAGTGCTGCTGTAACAGCTGAGTCTTCGAAAACAATCCACATCGCTTCACAGAGGATTGTTACTGCAAGGACTCACTGGTGTCTCCGGTGCTGCTCACACCTTTCAAGATCCCCAGTACCTTGTGTAACTGAGGGTGTCGAGGCCTTCCAACGGTCGTTTAAGGTATCCTAAACGCCAGCACGCCCGAAGTCGTGTCCTTGCCTTGGCCCTCCCAAGATGTGAGGCTGCCAGCATCGCCTGGGAGGCAGCCTGCGCGTCAAAGGTGTTTTGATTGTTGAAACCTCTGAAATTCAGGCCCTGCGTGCTAGGATGCAAGTCCTTGCAGCCGCTAAGCTCCTGCCGGAGGTTCGCCAATCTTTACGGGAGAGCTTCTCGAAATCTGGATGCTTTCAATCCGCAAGGCTCAGCAACTTCCGGCCATCGAAGCCACCGAAACCGAAGTGCAAAGTTCACCAGTCTCGACAAAGCCCATGTAAACAGGCATATGAAGCTTGCATGTCAATTTTCGTTGGGGTGTGAGCCGGGCTCAACATTGATCCAGATATCAAGCAAAAACCTGAACCCCAAACCCCCCCCCCGAAACAACGAAGATACACACACTGATCAATTCAGGAAGGGTTTCCTTCTTCTGCTTCTCGCCACGCCCCTCGATGAACCTCCGCCAGGGCGGGCATGGCTTTTGTGGACTTCAAGCAATCCGTCCGAAGGTTGAACTCCCACTGCATAATGAAGCCACCTCCAGTCACACAACCACAACTTCATCGCTCGTTAAATTCTTTATGGAAGCTGTTGTCGCTATATCAGAGTTGTCTAACGGAAAGCACCCATTCAAAAAAGAAGAAAAGATCAACTGATGCAGGCCGTTTGTTGTGGGTGGAAAACTCAGGCTGTGAAAGAAATTACAGGATTGTTCTTTCGGTGACTACAAAAATCTATATTGGATTTGTGCTAGGAATTCAACCGGCTTGCTTTCATTTGCAGGGAGTTACCGTCATTCTAAAAACGAAGTGATCCGAAAAGCTTGGCACCTCGTTCCGGAAAGTGCCATCTGAATCTTGCATCTCAAGTACACTGCAGACCCGATACATTCAACTCTTATGCCCCTCGACATTCACCTCCAAACCAAGGTTGAGCGGACTGAAGAGACTCCGCTTGGACCAGGAGACCCGGTTCACGTCCGCCTTGCACATGGTAAGCAGCGTACATCATAATAACAACAACCATCTGACAGAGACATCCGCCACGGGCCGAATTTCGAAAATCCCCGACCAGTGCACCGTAAGCTCAATCCCCGAATAGCAAGGATCTGGGATCCCCCAGCAAGCGGAGCCATGAATCTGCGAGTGTATCCTATCACAAATGAGACAGCTTCAATGAAAGAACTTGCCGAAGATATGAGTATTGGTTTGGGATCTATGAACTTTATTCTGCATGACGGGACCAAGTTTTCGTGGATTCCGGTGAAGGTTCTCGAGGGTGTCGTGTCTGCTTTCTTTTCTATAAGCCTCCATCGCGCAGCTCAAGAAAACTTGTTTGCTTAGCCAAAGCCGAGAAGAATCACCGGGGCCCTGGCATCATGCAAGGGATCCAGCACCTGTAGATAGTCCGGAGAGATGTCTCAATGATGGGGCTTGTGACAATTTCCTGTAAAAAAGCAACAGGGAACTGCATCGTGCGGGCTGCTACGAAACCAGCACAGGTAAGCAGCGTGCACTATACTCCAAACGGGTACGAAAATCAAGTATTTGCAGTTCGGGAACCGAGGTGTCACCCGACTCTAAGCTCAAACCCCGTCTCAGACCCCTGCGCGCTCCATGACTGTCCGACCACAGATGAGCCAACACAGGGTCTGGCCTTTCGGCTGACTGGGAAGACGTCTGGGATGACGGCTGTCCCGCCGCTGCGGGAGCTTTGCTGTCTCCAAGTGTTGTGGGGACTCGGGGCTTATGGCACACACAGTGTCTCAGGCTCATGTTGCGGACCAGAAGTGGGCCCGGGCCTTCGGTTCAGATCGGGGTTTATACCTCTTGATGGGAGGCGTCCAGCATCCGGAAAGCATTTGAATCTTCACTGTCATGTTGGACCTTGTCGCAACTACCCAACCTTTAGAACGGGAGTGTATACTCTCCAGAGCCATTGCCGACCCGCACTGAAACCTGAACCCCTGGGTCATCAAGCAAACTATCTGATGGGATACCGACAACTGGACCGGACCGCAACCAGAGTCCTCTCCCAGGGCCAGGGCATGTTGTCATCGGCACGAGGCAAGCATGGAACCTTGCAGCTCTACCATAGCAAGGTGGGGGCTGAAGCTTTGTTGCTGCTTTAGGTGTCGTTTACTGAAAGTAGCCGGTGCTTGGACGTTGGGTGTTGTGCTCGTCTGCGTGCTTCGGTCTCAAGCTCTTCAGACAAACTGGCCGCCTTTTCCTCGTTTGTCCACTCAAGCAGGAATCAGCTCTCTTGCCAGATGTGCCGAAGATCATCCTGCTTTGCAATTTATTGATCCGATAGCAGTAACAGACTAAGACACTAAGATCGGAATAGCTTGAGGATCTTCGGCTCCCCGGGTGTCAAAAGGTCCAAGGGCTCTCTCGACAAGAAGAATCTCTGCCTGCAAAACAGCTCGGGCAAACAACGATGAAAACGTGCCAATAAATGCAGAAGACTACAAGTTTGAAAGCGCACCAGTCCAATGCTCGAAAATGGGGCTGTGCAGGCTGGGAGCTGACGCTAGGCACCTGAGGCCGACTTTCTGTCGCAGAGATTACCGCTTGGCCGCCGGACTTCCGACTCGGGGGTTGGCCTCCGCCGACGCCCTCGGCCGTGAACTCTTCCAAACCTGCAAAATTAGACGCTGTCCTTCTTTTCGGTGGGCAGCATTGCCGGAGTAAGAAGCATGCATGCATAATCCACATACGATTCGGAGCCGAACGCCAAGCACTGCACGTGAAGCTGCGACCGTCTTGGGCTGAGCGGGCCTCGTACTCGAGAAAAAAAGCACTAGAGTTTAGGTCGCGTGCCGGTGGTAAGCAAGTCCTTAAACAAAGTCTTCTACTGGCCGAGGGCACAAACTGAAGCCGCGAGTTATCGTGGTTGCAGGAGTTTTAAACTCATGTGGCAGTCCTGCCGGGCGGTACCGCATTTGCGGAACACACCATCGAGCAATGAAAAATATGATCAAAAATATCGATTGTATTGGCGAAGCAAAGGCTCCCGAAATTGTGGTGCGAGTATGCATAAGACGTTGCCCCGGAACTCAACACCAGCAGACTCAGTTTCGTCTCGAGTCTGGAGACCGGCAAATCTGTCAAGGAGACTGTCTCTAGCTTCGAAGGTACGAGTGTTATATAAGACACCAATCTCCGAATCGGTATTGGGGCAAACCAGGATACGCAAAGAGTTTGAAGCACCCTTACCATTACAACAATGTCATCAACAGCATCTCCTGCAAAACCACCATGGTCATCACCGTCACAGCCAGGATCAACAATGTCAACAAAACCTTGAACCTCCTCCTCGTCTTCGTGGTCGTCATCGTCATGAAGAGGATGCACACCACCATCGCCACCACATTCATCATCCGGAATGCCTTAACTACAGTTTCAAGAGCCAGAGGCATGCGCTTTCGATGAGTGGAAGCTCTGTCCCGGCCCTGTCCCAGTCTTTTGTGGTCAATCACAGCAGGGGGTTTATGACATGGAAGATGTGGGAAACTGGAGGTTCATGTCCTTGGGCATAGTAAAGGTTTCGCCTCGGGCTTCGGGCTTTGCTGTTCAGAAATTGACACCCCCGGTGCTCACTGAGGTTGCTGCAGCGCGATCCAAATTCTGGTGCCAAGCCCAACCCCTTAACGGACAGGTCAGATACCTCCATCTCAGCGATTTGAAATGTTCAAGGGTGTTCAGGTAGCTAGAGACCTGCAGCTTCGCGACGGCCTGCTTCTCTCGAACTTGACGGTTGACTCTGAGTTAAGGGGTTCAGGAGCTCGAGGATTCGTTACGGAACGATCTTGGCCTAATGCTTACATGTTGAGTCAGTCGCTGCCTAGTTCCCTGTTGCAACAGATGGTTGCAGACTCTTGAGGTTCAGCTCGCCAGATCGTGCGAAACTGCAATTCCCAAAACGCGAGACCCTCAACCTCAAACCAGCAATGTCCCAACGGTGCGTAGTTAGAAGCACGACACAACAAGCACTTGAACAAGAAACCTCAACAAACACCCCAGGTGAACCCAGCAGCGCGCGAAGCACATGTCCCTTGGCCCGATACCCCGCGCCAGTCGCGAACTCAGCTTTGAAGGCTCTCAACGAAAGGGCTGGGAGCGCCGCAAGCGTGGGGACTCAAGAGAACATAAGGTAAGGGTGCAACCTGGTCCAGTACAAGTAGCCGCAGGCTCATGCGAGAGGTGTGTGTCCTGAAGTATGGGGATTACACTGGCTCGTGTTCGAGAATCTCGTGGGATTGACGTGAGGTATGACAAAAGGTGTCCGGCACCCTTCGCCCCGAGCCAGTGCGAACCGGGCAGCGGTCCGGAGAGTTGCGATGCCTTTCCAACTTTGGCCGAATCTGAATTCCGACAACCCGCAGGCGTCAAGCGGTGCGCAAAGATGAAGTCTGGCTAATCCCGTAGAACAACAAAGACCTAACAAATGAAATACTACGCACTGAGCACTCTTGAACACCACCAAAGGATCCTAAACATGTGTAAACACATAACAGAGCATAACATAAACTGAGATATCACAACATACCATAACATAAATCGGTGTGTGCATATCTACATGCAGACATACATGCGGACATACATTCACATGCATTCAATGCATTGACATACGTTGGCATACATTGACGTACATTGACACATACATACTACTTACATACATACATACATACATACATACATACATACATAGATGCGGACCATACATACCATACGTACATACAAGCCATACATACCATACCTACGATACCATACCATACCATACCATACATGCACACACACTACATTCACCCATACATCCATGCATCCATGGATCAATACATCCATGTATGCATACATACGAACACCGGTCAGGAGTTGAAAAAATCCATCTTCAAAACCGTAAGAAGCCGCAAAAATGAAACCAGAAATCTGAATCACCTCAAACTCTAAACCTACAGAGCGTACATAAATCTTGCACCCTTGCACCCTGACGCCTCTAAGGAAATGTCGGGGGCAGTGCGACCCTCCGAGCCACGGCAAGCCACGCAAAACTGTTGGGAGAGGTTGAATTCGTGCCCGAGAAGGCGCTTCGGGGCTTAGGTATAAAGCTTAAAGACTTCAGAACCTTCCGACTTTGCATTCAGGAGTGGGGGATAGTAGGGGCTTTGGGCGCATTGCATTCTCATAAGTCTGACGAGATTGGGCATGCTAAGGGACATACCCTGCGCTTGTAAGGTTTATGGAGGTTTGCTTCGGCGTTGAGCAATGCATTTCTGGGTGCAGAGCCCGGCGGACCGCCCTGAAGATGGCCGAAAGAAAACGTACCCCCAATCATTGAGGGACCCATTGCTCTGAATATCAGCCCTGGACGTGTGAGCCTTGAAGCCGAGCCGTCATCCCTGATTCCGAGCCCTACACCTTTTTCAGACCGAGACCATCCTAAGCTCACTGTAATGTCTCGCGCGCTGCACGAACTCGACCTGCGCAACTGCAAAATTTAGGACTAAACAACCAAATGGCGCTTTACATAAGCCAGAGTCTTTTAGTGGTAGTCGGCAAGAAAGCACCGATGGTGGATGGCGAGAACAGCTCTCAAATCGGGTGTCCCTGCCCGGTTCTACAGCTTCGAGATGTAGCGGAGGATTGAATGCGGATTCGCAAGAGCCCCGAACGTGTCTATGTCGAATATAAGAAGTTGTCGAGACGTGAGCTTTGCTGCAGTGCGCTTGGCGATTGCATGTTTGGGTCACTGGCTGCAGCTAAATTATGGCCCCAAAGAAGCACATAAGCAAAAATTAGGATAGGGATATCCCATATAAACCCCCTTAAAAGGAAGTCAAACATGGTTGGGATATCCCGGTAAAATGCTTATGCTTATGTGCTTTTTGGGTTCCTAATAAGTACCATTGTTCAGATTAGCAGTTGGCAGCATGTAGGGACACCCTGATCCTTGACCACCCGCATGAACTGCAAGTCACGCTCCAGTGCCACAAAGCATCGAACCGGAATTCCATTTCAGAGTCCAACCGGCGGCGACATCGACCCTGGACCTTCAACCATGCAGGAATCCTCACACTGCGACGAAAAAAGGCCAAACAACTGCCAATGCTAGGCTGCTTAAGCACTGCTAGGCACTGCGTTGGCTACTGGCCAACATCCAAAAATCTGCCACTGTGACTCTGCAACTCTGGTCGACATGCGCTTGGACCTTGCAAGCGCCCCGAGGCCCCCGAGGCCCCCGAGGCCCCCGAGGCCCTAGGAGCCAAAGGAAACACGGACCCCAGGATGCTTGATCACGGCCGCAAGATAGCCTTGCAGGGCATTGATGAGGTAGGGACTTGTATTCAAAGGTTCTAGAGAAGCAGCTCAACATCATAGGGATTTGGAGGATGGAATCTTGACTCAGAGATTGAACTGATTTCAGATTCCGAGAGGGAGGATTCTTTTATGGAGGTCTCGCGAGATAGTGCAAGAGGTTGAGGTGGAGGATGTTTGGGACCCTGCGCGGTCACTGCTGCTGATGCTGAAGACCTGGTGGGAACGAACAACCAGCAACCAGGACCATACCAGTAGCGGCCCTGGTGGCCCTTTCAGGAAATCCGAAGCTTGGCAAGAAAAGGGAAAGTGGAATTTCAGCAGCCGAAGTGACCACACGGCTTCCGCGGCAAGCCGTTGAGACGGCCGCTGCAATTCCTAAAGGCCTCCTGCACGGGGCGGGGCTCTGCTCTTCGATTTTTTGCAGGGAGCGTCTTGTTGTCTTGATCTGGAGCTTGGGCTCTTCGGGGTTTCGCGGCTTTCGGATGGTTTGAGTTCTTGCTCACTTGCGAAGGTCAGGCACTGATAAAGTCGCGGTACTCTGGTGCTTCTTTGGGTGCTGTGAAGAATGAGAGCAAAACTGGGTAGGCCTTGCTCTCCGAAGCCAGAGCCCCTAAACGCCACGATCGGACTGAAGTCGATGGGGAAAGCCGCACAGTTCAGGGCCCGCCCGGAAGAGCCAAGCCTTGGAGCCCTTGAAAATGCAAAAACTGAAGCGAGGTGTTCATATCTCAAACCCACCAATCGTACTGGAAGTTCCAACACTGACAGCCTGAAGCCAAAATACACCTCCTAAGGATAAAACTTGATCACAAACGGCGCTAACAACCGCACACAAGAGAATGTGGGGATTCGGTGCAAGCATTTCTGCAAGCATTTCTATACCCTGAAACCTGCAAGCCTGTTCACATCGGCAAACTGTGAGCTCAGCCAACAACAGGAAGCCCCTCAAATGCCCTGCTTGCTTGCCCCAGCAATCCAACAGCCTGAAAGGAGACGCTAGCATAAGAAGGCTCGGAGCCATCTTTGGGCCAAACAGCAAAGCTCACCTTGAGGCATGGCTGCAATTGAGCCATCGTGGCTGTTTTAGCATTGTTCACAACTGTGCAGCATAACTTCCCTGATAGCAACGACAACCATATCACAATTGCTGCCATGAGCAAAAATCTGAGAGATGAGAGATTAGTACGTAGTACGTAGTACGTAGTAGTAGTAGTTGTCGTCTTCGTAGTGGTAGCAGCAGCAGCAGCAGCAGCAGCAGTGCAGTAGCAGTAGCAGTAGCAGTAGCAGTGGCAGTAGCCGTAGCCACAGCCGTAGCCGTAGCAGTAGCCGCAGCAGTAGCCGCAGCAGTAGCCGCAGTCGCAGTGGCAGAGGCAGTAGCCCACTGGAGTGTCTTGGTGCCTGCTCCGGGAACAGGCCTGGTGCCTGGTGCCACACTGCAAAAGTCTCAATATGAACGAATTTCGCACACTTTGGAAAGACATTTTGTCGCAACAAATTTAAAACAAGAACCTTCCAGCCAAGTAAAGGTCAAGTGGCAGTCTGAGACCATAAGTCGGCGGTGACCTATCGTCATGCTACATGCTCTCGTTGTCGGGCACTGAGGCTGAAAGTTCGGGGTGTGGGGCTTTCGAGTTTAGCGTTGCAGGCTCTGTGTTCGGCCGGGGCCCAAAACCCTAGCCTTTATCCAGGTCCGGTACCGCGTGGCTCGGCGGGGATGTGCGACGGGGTTGGGTTCGAGCTGTCTGAAGTCTAGAGTCTGACGGCTTGTACTTGTGCCATCCAAGCAATTGCAACATTGCGTGCTTTGAGACAATGCTGCTACGTGTTACAAGTGCTGCGAATAACTTGACTCTAAGTCCTGCATGTTTCTGCGAAGTGCAGTGTACTGTCACCTACACCGACCACAAAGACAAACAATAACGCTAACACTGCTAGCGCCCACCTCCAGCCAGTCCCCGACCTCCAGCTGCCTTGGGAGACGGGGCTGAGTTCGACCTCAAAGGAGGCTCCCGGGGTCTCCCAAGAGGGAGCCGTCTGAGCCCTTCTGGGCTCTGTGGCCGCCAATACTTGGCCGCAGCTAGTACCGAAGCGCCTCCTAAGCAAGACGTACACCGTGTACTGAAACAAGCAGTTCGCACCTGCGTGCTCGCAGCATCTAGCCGCTAGCCATTGCTTGCTAGAAGAAATTTTGCGATGGGCCACCTGTGACCAATCTCCCTAGACATGATGAAAGTTGCGCAGAGAAGGACCCCAGTATCTGAAGGCCCGGACCCTTGAGCTCTGGGGCTCTGGGGCGGAGGGACAGCAAGAATGAACTGCGGCCTAAAGGCCACAGTCCCCCATGCCGCACGGGGGGGGTTACCGCCGCACGGAACTGCATGTATACAAGAGACAAGGGCTACTGCACTTCCTCGGTTTGATGCGGGGCGCGGAGCACTCTCTGGCTGATTCCCTCTCCACCAGACACAACACCCTGACCACGACGCCGGTGAGGCTGATGCAAACAACTTCACATAAACCTAAGTTCCCAAGGGCTCAAATCAAAGCCACCAGCTCGTCGCTGAACCGATTGCGGCCTGGCTGCCGTACTTGCTGCGAGCACCTTTCCACTTCCTGGTCGCAGCATTCACCGATGTAGGGTCATGGAATGCCAGTAAAACCCCAAAAACCACGCTGGAAAAAAAAGACCCGAAAGACAAAGACCCAAACAGTGGCCAAAGACGCGGAACAAGGACAATGTATTCGGATGACGTATCAATATAAATCACGAACCCCTCACCATCCCTCCACCACAATGCACGAAGCCCCAGTAGCTTCGATAAAGAGCTGTTTTGCCTGGAATGAAAGTGCACAGCACCTCAGTCAGATCCCGACATCGCAGATCCTGAAAAAGGCAAAGCAGCAAACCCGCCACCAACAAGTGTTGATACAGCTTCGGTCTTGTGGCCACAGGCACTTTGGGAACCGAGTTCGGGAGGTAAGTTTCAAGGATTGGAGATTGGGGGTTTGTTGGTTGGGGGCTCAAAACTCTAATTCCAGTTACTTCAGTTTCGAGCCTCGTGCATGCGGATGCAGATTCGACCGGTACGATTTGCAAAGACCGAGAAGATCTTCTGAATGTTCCTTGGCCACTTGACAGGTCAGCCCGCTGAAACTCTGTAGAGGCGTCCTACAGTCGACTTGGCTTGGGGCGGGCTGAGGCTACGGCGGCTACGGCTAATAAGGTCTTTGGATCCGAGTCCAAGGTCTCCGAACTTTTGCCCTATCACTCCACCTCGCTCCGCTGTCCAGCCATGCGTCTTCGTGCAGGGGAGGTCGCAGCTGATGACGTAGCCAACGCCATCCGCGCTGCAGAGTTCGCCGTCTACGAACCTGGAGCAAAGTAAAGAACAAAAGCCGAAACCTGCACAGTCAGGCCCGGGCATCTCTTTTCCTGTACTTCAGAATAGCATTGTCTAGCATTCGCTAGACTTTCATGCGAACCAACTGGACCATCACTTCCCAAGTCGAGCTTCAGGGTTAGATCCTAAACCCCAGAGCAACAGCTGCTGCCACCGGCACTGCACGGCATAGCGTTCGATGCCCTGGAAGTGGATCCGGCGCTCGCAGATGATGCTAAGACGGCCCTCGCATCACGGCTCAACTAGAGTCCGGGGCTCCGAGTCTTACAATCTCAGGTAACCTACACTGGACATACGCTGCAACACGTCACGCAAGACTCGGCACATATGATCTAGAAGAAGCATGAGAAACGCAAGCGAAGAAGTACCGCCTAAAGTTGCGCCCATGTCTCGAAGCGGTTAGAGGTCGGAAAACCGCAACTGCGTGTTGCTAGTTTACGAATGTACATCGGCCTTCTAGTGGCCTACTAGTGGTGTAAGAAGCTGTCATTAATGAGGAAAAGGTAAGCTTCACTTTTATTTGGCTCGGCCCAGAATAAGGCCTCACGAAGAGTCTCATCACACCCCGTTTGAGGGTGGGATTTAGGGGGGTGTAGTTAATGTCTTCATGATACCAGTGGTACGGTCACCAAGTCTTGGAGAACTGCGGGTCAACAATCCCATGTAAGATTTGCTGCCCTTGAAAGTCATAAAGTCGGAGAGGAAGTGGATAATGTGGAGTGGATGTTTATCTTGTACCACTCCACATTCGGAGCTTATGGAAAGAGTTAGGAACATGTGAAGTAAGAGACTCTAAGATATGTCACTACCTTGAGTCCGTTGAAATATTGGCATTCAAAAGTAGATTATGCATCCTCCAAACTACCGAGGCATCGCTTGAACATATCGTAGGAAGGTATTCGGAAGTCTGATTTTTGGAGATATCATCCTATTTCATGATGAATGCATATACATGAATGTACATACCTAGGCTGATACTAATGTTCCAAGATTTCGAAATTTAATTAGTCCCGGAAATACAAATTGAAGTAACTAAACTTCGAGGCCTTTATGGCTACAACCTTTAACTGGTGATAGAATGCCGGTGAAAAAGTGCTAAATTTATGGAATGAAATCACGCTTGCGTTCCGCTCCTTTCTTTGGCTCGCTTCATTGAGTTTGAACCCTCAATCGTAGCCTTGTGCCAAAAGACCCCAAAAGTGTGCTTGTGCCACCTTTTCTTGGGTTTCTGTCTACATGTCGTCGACTTTCTTCACCTCTTGCCACGTCAAGAAAAACTGCAGATAGCAAAGTGAGGCTTCTTGTTGCATTCGCTTAGTGAAGTCATGCTTGCGCTTCGTTTCCTGGTGTTGAACCAACAGGAAACATACAAACAGATTGCGCTGGTCCGTGTAACGCACAGCACCATAGTGTTTTTCCTGGTTTCGTTTGCTCATTTTCCTTTGATTTAGTTCAGTTTGCGCATTCGTATCTGTTCTCTGCAAACTAATGAAACCAAGGGAGAAAACGGTTTACAAGCACTAGTATTAGCGGTCACGGACGGCCCCACTCCGCGCCACTTCCGAAAACTCAAAAACAGAAGGAAACCCACACCAAGGATCCGAATTGTGAAACTTCCAAGGAAGCCCGAAACCAAGAACACCAACAAAACCCAAAAAGCCAAGAAACCAAAAACACCCAAACCAAAAATAGCAAGCTCTCGGAGGAGATCCAAAACCAAAGACACCAAAGACACAAAAAACAAAAATAAAATCCCAGCCGATATGCCAAACCAAAGAAACCAAAACAACAACAAAAATCCCAGCCGAGATGCCAAACCAAAAAACAAAACCAAAACCAAAGAAACCAAAATCCCAGCCGATATCCACAACCAAATAAACCATTTTTTGGTGTTGCTTTTTTGGTTTCGGAGCTCGGCTGGGATTTTGGCTTCTTTGGTTTTGGTTTTGGTTTCTTTGGTTGGAATCTCGGCTGGGATTTTGGCTTTTTTTGGAATTGGTTTTGGTTTCTCGGGTTTGGCATTTCGGCTGAGATTTGGGGTTTGTTTTTGGTTTTTGTTGTTGTGTCTTTGGTGTCTTTGGCTTTGGATCTCCTCCGAGAGTTTGCCATTCTTGGTCTGGGTGTCTTTGGTTTCTTTGGTTTTGGATTTCGTCTGGGGCTTCTTGTTTTAATTGGTTTCTTTCGCTTGTTTTGTTTTGGGTTGGATTCTTGTGAGTTTTGGACCTCCTGTAGGACTTTGTCCGGACATACTCGTAAAAGTAGCAAAACGCAGGGGCCGTTTTCCGACCCCAAACCCTCGAAGCTTTGCAGGGGGCGGACCATCTATGGTCTGAAAATGTGACAAGGCATGTGAACCTTGAAGGAACAAGACCTGTAGGCCATGCACCAGCTTTCATCATTGAATCTTGCAGAGTCCAGCTTTGACCAACAGCCCGGAACTCCCAAGATGGATCCCAAAGACACCGAAACTACTGCCAACCGGCCAACCTCCAAACCAGACATTTCTGAGATCGGGAATCCTTGTTGTTCCCATGTGTGAACGTGCGGCCATCGGCATCCAACTCGCCCATGCTCGTGCTTTTCTTGTGAAACCTCAGGCGAAGGAGGTTTGAGTAAACGACCAGAAGCGGGAGCGCGTCTTACTCCACGAAACTCCCAAAACTCAAATTTGAGCAGTCTGAAAAAAATCGATTTGCCAAAGAATTGAACCGTACTTATGGAGTAGGACGCCGCGATTAGGGTGCGAGGCTCCATCCAGGAGTTCAAGCAATGGGCTTAGAGTTTGCAGAAACTCGTTCCGACTCGGGCGCTCCGAGCAGGTTGCCCGTCACCAAAGTTGGTGGTTTGACGATGACGATGCTGATGAGGCAGCAAGGTTGTTACGAACCTCACTGTTGTGACAACTCAAGCCTCGTTCCTCGAGCCGTGGTCCGAAAGCCTGTGGCGCGAACTCACACCCAACACCCAAAACCCTTCCGACAATCGACACAGACCAAAAGCTGAAAGACCCCAAACTCATCTCATGGTGCGACCCGGGACCGATGCTGGCGGCCAAAAGGCGGTCTTCCAAGCGGCGAGAAGCCTTGAGCCTGTCACAAACTCACTCTTGCAGTCTCACGGCGCACGTCTTGGAAAAAGCTGGTGCTGGTGCTGCTGGTGGTTGTGTGTCGTACGACCTGATGATAATAAGTTTAGCTAAGAACAGAAGAAGTGATCTTGGAACGAGACTAACCGACTAACAACGACAATAATCATGTTTTGGATGATGGTGTTGCTGATGATCCGACCCTGGGCTGAAAACAATACAGGTCTGGAGCTCTTGATGCATATGGCTCAGTGATTGCAAACATGTTGTTAAGTCTCGCGATGTTGGGAGCTATCGTCCTGAGTCTCCTCATCCTCAGACCTGGTAGGGGTTTCGGGCTCTGAGGCACTTGACTCCAGGCGCGGACCCAAACCCCAGAGATGCCTTGTCCTTACAAATCTTCCCTGTCGGGGGCCACACTTCAGGAGTTCAGATCTGCAGACTGGAGCTTCTAGGCTGGCTGACAAGATATTCACTTGGCTTCTCTGGTTTCGAGCAGATCTTGTGACGGTTCAGGGTTCAACTTTGGAAATGGTCGTGAATCAGCTCGACCCGAAGAGGCGACGGCGGATTCTTTTTGCGAATGGGCGCCTGGATCTGCTTGTCCAGACCACTCCATGCGTGCGGGGCTGGACCCTGCAGCAACCTGACTCGTTGCATCAGGTTTAGCCAACGGGCTACTGACTTGCATCGTGACCTCGCGGTACAGGCTCGAGGTCCAGAGTAGAGATAAGGACAAGAAAACTCCACATTTATCGTTAAATATCTACACGCAAATGTAGATGTGAATGTGGAAACAAACAGAAATAGATGTGCAAAACTATCCTCATGGCTATAACATGGAGATCAGGCTGGAAGTCTCCGGTTTCAGACGTCAGACCCTTCAAAAAACATTGAGGCGATTCGGGCAGAAGCGCTTCAAAGCTGGAAAAGGTCCACCAAGCAGCGAAACCGAAAGAAGTGGAACAGCCTGAAGCCTCCAAGCCGCATGGGGTAGCCGGGATAGCGCTGCATTGGTGAAAAACCCATCCTGAGCAATGCGCAGACCATTAAATTTCCTGCCGGGTCCAGCAAGACTTGTATGATCCGGCAGGTGGTGCTGTCAGGCTGGTTGAAGCCCTAGTGGATCGCGAGCGTTGACCTGGAGCCGGTTTAGAGCTTCGCTTTGCAGGGCAGACTTCCTGAGTCCGGCTTCCTGAGTCGTGACAGTGAGGTGATGGTTGATGACATGTCGACCGCTGGCTTGCTGATCCTCTTTTCCAATCTGTTACTGACCCTTACCCTTTCTGCGGCAGGCTCCTACTGCTTCCTAGACCTGTTTCCAAGCGAATCCAAAACCTACTTTCTATAACGAAGCGGAGGAAGCTGAGAAAAGCGATCAAAGCCTGAAGCCTGTGTGGCAAGACAGCTGTAACTCCGAAGGCATCTAGTGTGACGCCAGATGTTTCTGCCCCGACTCCAACACCTCGCATTCAGAGCTGCTTAGGGCAAGATTCGGCACTGCAAACGATGGCGCCGGCACTGCTACAAATATGGCAGGGGTCGTCATTCCTGGATGCACCTCAGGTCCGTCGAACTTTTCTTCATCCACTCTTTGTTGTCTTCGTAAACTGCCCGTTTCCAAGTAGGCGACACTTTGGACCCAGTGATCGTCCCGTTCAAACCTTGCCTTCCAACCTGAGTCTCCATGTGCTCCTGTGGCCCTTGTGCCGTTCACACTCTGAACTGCCATAGTCAAAGTCCAGGGAAGGACACTGTACACTCCAACCTGACATTCTACAGGCGGTTTCGAGGTCTGGACTTCAAGAGTCAAGGGAAAAGGTTTAGGGCATTTTTGCTTAAAGCTTGGGCTTGCTTAGGTTGAGCCGTGCCTGCGCCACGGCGACAGGGGCAGCTGGTTCCTGCATACACCCCAGTCCGCTTCCCAGGAAAGGAACAGCTGCCCCAAACACGGGATCTGTTCATGTCATCAATCGCCCTGCGACCATGTATCGGACATGCCTGTAGCTCGCTCCTGGAAACCTTTAGGGAGCAGGATGGCTCTGTTCACTCTCATTGTGGAACTAAGCTGTGAAATACCTGCAGTCGCAAGAAAGTTCTTTTTGCTGTGGTACTAAATTAGGCCTGCCTGAACAGGCTTGGAAATCAAGCCCCCTCGTGAGGCCATCGATGAAGTTTGGACTGCGGGAAGCTTGCGAAGCACAGAAGAAAGGAAGGCAACCCACGGGATGGAGGCGAGATGAGAACGGAAGTGAAGCCAAAACAATTCTCTTTTATCTGAACCTGGACCTGCCACGTGAATTCGGAAACTCTGTTGTACAACGACTGCTTTACGAGCAGTGCAATGGCAAGTGCATAAGACCAGTATGGACAGCGCGACAACTAGGCTTCTGGCGACTGTGACAACTATGACCAGTGCGGTTGGCTTGAAAAAGATTTTGGAGTTAGTTCTGACAAGTGACGATCACTGATACTGATCACTGTGATTTTTGTCCCCGGTCCGGTGTGTCTAGTCTTGCTCAGACTCGCCTGAAAACGGCTACTGACGCGCCTTTTGCTTAGGCGTTCCGGCAGTCGGCACCGTGGAGAGAAGAACACGAGGGCTGGCACACAAGGTGAGGGCTGCGGGGGTCGGGATATGAGGCTTAGATATACAAGACTTCAAAAGCTTCGGCAAAACGAAAACATGCTGCAGAAAGCTACACTTTTCAAGTTTCAAGATGAACGTAAACTCAAATCATTAGCTTTAGGAGTGGCTTCCCCTTTGCATTGTCTAGGCCTGAAAGGCTTGCACGACTAGGGAGCGATTTCAGAACGTGATAAGCTTGATACCTACAGCTCGATACATTTTGTTGAAATAAAGACGACACTCCTAGTATACGAGTAGAATGGTGCACAACTACGCTCCGACTTTGAAGCCGCTTGACACAGGGTGCTGCAACTGATGCGGTGCAGATTGAAACTCGCCACTGCCCACCCGATGCAGCCTACAACTTGTTTCCAACCCCGAAACACAAGGAACACAACGGCCCGATCCTGCATCTCCAAAGCTTCAAAGTCAGCATCCGATAAATAAAACTCCTTTTCCCTGCCTCGAACCCGGCTGTGCCGCAAGGCTGGAGGCTCCCAAGGGCGACAGGTCCTCAATCACATCCGTCCTTGGATCTTCGGCTCGTGGCTAGTGGGTTCGAAGGCTTCTGTGCTTTGAGCCGACGTTCTCGCCGAGCCTCTCCGATCCGTTCTCCCAGGACACAGCCCTGGTGCTCGAAGACCATGTATCATAGTTTTCCGGAAGCCCTGCAAGTAGCCATTGGGCCGGGGGCCATGCTGACGGCTTCAGAAGCTTTGAGTTTCGGGCTTGTCCACGTCAGACTTTAGGTTCAAGAACTACTGCTCTAGGCTTGCATCGAGGTCTCCGAAAGCACACGGGAGGGCGCATGCGAAGGCATTTCATTTTCTTGTTGGGGGGGGGGGCGGCAGCAACATGAACCTGGCAGCTTTCAGCAGCAGCATATACTACTACAGCGATATCTGCAAACACTGCGACCACTAATAGCACTTATTGCTGCTGCTACTACTACTACTGCTGCCCTTACTACTACGGTGACTGGTACTACCAAGGCGACGACGACAAGCACAAGGACGAGTACCATACTAGTGCTAGTAGCAACAAACCAGTGCACAGTGGCAGACGGACAGCAAGCCACTATTAGGTCTTCATTTTTTGAGGCGGGGGCGGGAGTGGGGGGACTATTATGGGGAACCCAGGGGAACAAACCAATGCAGAGTCGCAGGGAGCGGATCGACCCCTGGACAGCAAGGCATTATATTTTTGTTTGAGGCGGGGGGGGAGTACTACTGTCGGGAACCTGGGGCAAGAAACCAATGCAGACAGAGGGCGGATCGACCCCTGCACAGCAAGACATTATTATGTGTTTTTTGAAAGGGGGGGTGAGGGAACTATTATCGGGCAGTCGGGGCAACAAACCATTGCAGAGTCGCAGAGGGCGAATCCGAACCGACCTTCGGACAGCAAGACAGGTTGCTTTCGTCTTGAGGGGGGAGGTCTTATTTCAGCTCATACTAGGACGACAACTACTACTTCTACGACCACTGCTACTACTATGACAACAACAACAATTTTCAATTGAACGCTGCGCGAGCGTGCTCTGCGCTTTGCGGGCGCCTTTGGTCTCGTGCACTCGTGAAACTGCTTCTAGCATGCATCGCTCATACCTCTCTAATCAGCTCAAGCTACTGAAAACTACAGCTACAAAAGCTTCCTCCTCCGACACCTTGGTGTGAACAGACGCGTCCATCTGTGCACCTGTCACAACAATTAGGCCGTACTTCAGACGAAGCCGACACCTGGAGTATCCGTCTCGTGGCGCCCCACACGGATTACTCATGTTGAAGACAGAAGGCCGTAAGGGTCATGTGCTCATGACCGCGTGTACCTGCATGCATCGCCGATGGAGTGAGGCTGTTGGCAACTTGGACGTGGGCAACTCTCTGATGCAGTGATGTGCTGTTTGTAAGCGACTAGCTCGCGATTCACAGGCTTCCGAAGAGATTTGCTAAGCGTCGGAAGAGGTCCGAATTCCCAGAGTCTGTGACATAGGGGATCAAAAAGTCTGTGACATATCTCTACCCTCACTGGTCGTGACCTTTTGGCCACTGCTGGGAGTAACTGTGCCAGGACCACTGCTGCCACCAGTCCCAGTCGTCCTCTTGGGAGGAGCGTGCCTGCCTGGCCCACTGGGTCGAGGATGAAGAGGAGGGGGCATCGCGCTGACGCTTGCCCTCTGTGTCAGCCTCTTGCATCTGTGGGCGCTTGTTAGGCGCAGCAGCAGCAGCCAGTTTGGCCATGCGCTTGTCTTCCTCGTGCCCCTTGTCATGCTGAATCCGCATCTTCATGATGGAGTAGGCATCTTTGTTGGGTTTGACCCTGAAGACACGAGCTGGGAGTCCGGCTGATTTGGCCGTCTCATTGTAGACTGCCACGATGGTAGTGGCGATCATGTTGAACTCTACCCACGAAGGGAAGTGCTGCTGAAAGTCCTTCTCGTCCCACATCTTGTTGAAGCAGGCATGGATAAGGCCATGCACCTTATTGTGGGGGCATCCAGCTCGCGATAGGCTCCTCCCGAGCCTGTGGCTATAGTGACCTTCCCATCGCTGGTGAGGACCCGCCTCACCGACATGGCGATGTCCCATGTGAGGCCTGTTTGTGTCCTTACTGACTTGATGGCAGAAAACAGCGGAGGTACCTCGCGGAGTGCGTCCATCCTGGTAGACCAGAGGGTCTGCTGCTCGTGGTTGGTGAGGCCTCCGAGAATGACGGGAGCCACCAGGATATTGATGGAAGCCAAGGCCCGAATCCAGTCCTGGTGGGACTGGGAGCTCAGCAGTTGAGCCAGCTCCTGCCTCGTGTATCGTACTGTCTGTTGTGGAGCCGGCTGTGGAACATAACGGGTGCCGCATTGGTTTCCGGGGGCTCATATGCTGACGGGGGACGGGAGGAAGGAGGAGGGGGCGTGTGGGAGCGCGTAGCGGCCAGGGTGGCAGGGGAAAGGGGAGAGGCAGACTTGGGAGGGTGCGGAGGATCGGGGAAACAGGGATAGCCGGTGGGGGAGCAGGTGCTGCCGAAGAGGAATTCTCCGGAGGCTGGGGGCACGGGGTGGGCACCGTGGACGGTGGGGCCTTAGCCGGAAGCGCTGGGGCCGCCTTCGGTGCTTCCACCTGGCTTGCCTTGAAAGCCGCCTTTTCGGCCGCCGTGGAAGTGAAAGGGCAGGGGGGGGAAGGCGGCGGCTCAAAGCCGGCTGCTTTGTCTGATCCTTTAGTCCTGGTGCTGCTGGGTGGGAGAGGAATCTCCTGTGGATGCTTTGGGGGAGGGGGAGGAAGTGGTGCGAGGGTTGCCGACATGTCGCTTGGTGCCGCAGGTGGTGACACAGGGTCATGCTTCTGCGTGACAAAGTGGTTTTTGAGGCCGTGGCTAGTGCTGAACTGGATCTGTCGGTTATGCTTCCGGCAGTGGAGGCAGCACAGCCACATGGAGCCTGGAACCTCCATTTGTCCCAAGCCGCGAGGGATGAGCTCCAGCACATCCTGCTCTGTAAGATCTTGGTTATAATGATGGGTCTCGCGGACTGTGGCCATGAGCGCCGCAAAGGAGTTGTGCTGGATGCTGTCTGCCACATAGGTTTCGATGTCCTCCTGAGTAGGAGGAGGAGGAGCTGATGTGGCGGTTGCCGTGGTCTGTGACCTAAGTGGCTGAGGTGAGCTGTGCTCTTCGGGTCGATCGGACTGGATTTCCAGGGAGATGTCGGGAAGCTGGCTCTGCAGCATGCGATCGGTTCGTTCCTTGGTGGTGGGGTCTCCCTGAAAACCCTTCATCCACTTCCAGCACCTGGTGTAGGCGACTGTCGTGTTGTTGGCTGTCACAAAGTAGTGGCCATCGTTGTCATACTTTTTGTTCTTCACGCGCTTGTCCCAGCGCTCCGAGAACAGGTAGATGGGGCCAAACTTGGCGGAAACATTCCAGCCCGCTTGAGGGGAATGACCAAGGTCTCGACTCAAGATCTGCCAGAGAAATTTGCAGAAGATCATGTATTCCAGGTTCGCCTTCGCTGTCATAACCTGACGGCTGAAGGCGTGCTGTATGGCCTCCCTCATCATAGGGTGCCTGGGCTTGCCATAGATGATGCCTTGAAAGATGTGATCTCCTTTGACTCCGATGGCCATGACCATGAACTCCTTTGGGAGTTGGCCAGGTGGGGAGGGTCTGTGACCCACTTCACCTGCCTTCGTTGAGTGAGCTGTGCTCCAATCTGCTGCCATGAGCTGCAGTACCTGTTCCCAGGGTACCACAAAGCCACATTTAATATCGACATAGAGGCCGCCGTGCTGGTAGTGGTAAACGTAGCGGAACACGTCGGCTCTATGAGCAGGTTGACTGAGGCGGTCCAGCAGATTGGAGCCGTACTTTCCGGCAAGTTGCCGCAGGGTAGCCCGAAGGATACCATCGTCACAGAATTTGCGGGTGAAGCCTGCGAACATTTTGACCGCAACTTGGGCGGGCTCCGGCTTGTCGTCGTGGACATAGGTCTGAAAGAGGAGGGCCGGGACGGGGGCGGCCTCCCATTATGGGAGATGCATGAAGCGCATACCCCAGGGGCCATGTCCGTACTGCATGGCTACTTCCGAAAGATCTCGGACAGTGCGGCATTGTGACAGAGCCTGGGCTGCCAGCATTTCGACATGCATGTCTTGCTGGCGAGCACTCCAGCCAGCAACCACGAGGACAGGCAGTCCTGGGGTGTTGCGCATTTCCTCGATGGCTCTTGTGACAAGTGCCGGGATGACGATGTCCGCAACATCAGGGCGGAAGTGGAGATTTTTGGAGTTGTAGAGCCATTCTACCCCTCCTACTCCAGGTATCTGTGCCAAATCCATGATTTCCTGATTTGGCAAGTTTTTGTCCGCAAAACCATATTGGACCCTGCCGTCTATCAGGTAATCATAATTGACTTGCTTCTCCGGGCGCAAGCTTCTTGACAGCGGAATAAAGCGAACATTGATTTGTCCGTCAAGGTGGCTCTCCAAAATGGAGGCCACCGGCGGACTCTGAACCGCCGCCTTGAATTTGTGCGGCCCAAAGAGGCCAAATTGCCAGTGGAGGAGCTCCATGATGGAGGGGACGCTGCTAGCAGAAATATTGAGGGCGGCGCCTGGACAGCTTAAGACCTGTCCCGTCAGCAATGGGAACACTCCGTACGTATGTCCCCGCAGCATGTGCTGCAAGGTGCTATCGCTGAGCACCAGAAAGGGTCCCAAACTGGGAGGGGTGTCCATGGTCTCAGCTTTAGCTGATGGGCCAGAGTCTGTGACACGCGGCCAAGAGGTGAGCTGTGCTCTTCGCTGAGTCTCAGTTTGTTCTGAAGTCTTAGCTTCTGCAAGGCATGTCTAAAGAGCAAAGCTGCTATGCTTCTGCTGTTGCCTACTGTATCGGCAGTTCGAACTGACAGCTGCGGTATGCATGCACAGCGTTACAGAGTCATATGGCCAAGCACGAAGCTCAGGGCGACGCAGAACGACTGGAGACAAAGCAACAACAGCAGAGGGCACGCGAGCAAGGACTGCTGGTGCCATGTGGTAGCTGGGGCCTCGGATTGCAGGATAGAGCAAGCGATAATGCAGCAGTAGCTTGGTTCAGGCATGCTGCAAGAGCAATTTCTCAGGGCAGGTAGGCAACATATCTCGAACAGTGACAAGTTGAGTGGCTGTGCCACACCTGA